TAGACCTGGTGGTGCGAAATGTGCTCGAATACAGCTAAAAGCACAAGATGGTAGTGGTACTCTAATTTCCTTGCACAATGCATTCCAACACCATCGAGCCAGTTTCCTGTAAGCCACATGTCTTTGTCTCTTATGTTCAGGTCCTTCCTCAGTTCTTGAGGTATAGCATTGCTTGTACTCACTCCATGCTAGTCGTAATACCGAATAATTTAAAAAAAGGTTTCGAAAAACAGGATTATCTGTAATACAGTCTGGAGTATCTATGCCCTCAAATTCTTCGTCAAATTCTATCGAGTCTTCATCCATTGTTACAATAACTGAAATATCTTTGCAACAAACACATTCTTCCACTCTATCCATAATTTGACAATGGCTACATGTGCACCTATTCAGGTAAATAACAACTAAAGAATCATTTTATAACATAATATTTAAAGGTTGAAAACTCAAGCGTAATGTGATATTCGATATACTCGTAACATAAATCGGCAGCGTAATTTGTATGATAAAACATATAAAAACAAAAATGACATTATAAATTGCAGAAAAGAGTAAAATAATACTATTTACCAGAATTTATCCTGAAGTCTGTTGGGTTCAGATACGGATTCAGCCGATGTTGCAACGGCAACTTCGTCGGAGTGGTCCATAGGCTCGTCGCTAGAGTCTGTTTTAATGGTCTCATAAGCATATGGTTGAATCATGTTTTGATCGTTAATCATTACTTCGTAGTTTGAAACACAGCTTCCGGAATAATTACTAGAGGAATCGTTTGTGTAATCCGTATTCATTGCGCAGAATAATTTGAAAACTTAGAAAATCTAATGCATCTATGAATATGCTTATGCACAATTTCTACTTTTGCTAATATATTTTTTCCAATGTTGACAACGATCACTGCGCCGTGACGTAACGACGAAAAACCGCTGCTGGATTGCGGCTTCGCTTGCACGTACACAATAACGTTCGAACAAGAAACAAAATACACACATTTAAGGCATTATTTCTCAAGTTAAATTTGAATTGGAAACCTATGTGCACATTGACTTTTAACTTTTACTTGTGCAATACCACTTTTTAGAATGCATTTTCATCAAAAACAATCTCCTTTCAAGAGGAAAATATTGGGAAGATTCTCTGCTACATGCATGACACCAAGAGCAAGTATTTATAATAATTATCCAGATGTATGAATGTTCATAGTAGCCGGTAGGTTTAGATGGAAGCAGGAATGCTTTTGATTCGACAAAAGTTTCATCTTCTTGTAAAGGCTTTCAGCATAAACGAAACTTATCGTCTTTTGTGAGAGGAATGCTACAACAAATCCCGTTAGCTATTGTACTACAGGGCCGACAACAACAGGTGAGATTCGTCGCAATTTTCTGTATTTAGCAGTCTCCACACTGATATAAACTACGCATTGCTTTCCTCAAATCAGTTATTTTATCAAACTGTTTGCAATCGGTGAATAATAACGCATAAATATATCCGATTTAATGGAAAATCACGTTTCCGTATTACAATTCTTAATATTCTCACTCTCCTTTCCTTACTGACAAAATGGTGGCCAACATGCGCGAGCTAACATGAGCGAGGACAAGTTTTTGCGAGAGTGAGCATACTGTATAATAACTATACAACAGAATAGATACAGAAAAGATACGTAACAGAAGCGCCACTCAGCGAAAAATCTGTCCCCTACTTGTACCCAGTTCTTAAGTGCGCATCTTTGGCGTTTGCCATTACTCCAGCCAGATAAACTGGCCAGAATGTATAGAGATTAATATTATGAAGAGTTGTTTTTCGAAAATTTGACGAATGTAGATTCACTTATGGACAAAATTTTTAATGCTATCGGATAGGATACCAAGCATATGAGGTGAGAAACAGTTTTGTTGTAAAATACGTTCGTCAAATATAATTTTACGGGTTTTATAGTTTCTTTGCCTTTGAATTGTATGAGAGATCCATGTTTAGAATGTCTCTTACATTGAACGGCAATTACCCTAAGAATTTATAATTTAGGACTAATACAAAGGTAATAAATATACTTAGTGTGATCCATTTCTGTATTTTCTAGTAAAGTGTTTCCTATTAGAATGGTCAATGGATTTGTTAGAAGCGATAAAACGACCTTCTGTGCGTAAAGAATGTTCTTCAGATGAAGACGTTCATAGTGTAGAATTTGGACTAAACTACTTTTATATTTGATGCTTGAATCGGGGCTTTTTATTTGCAATGTAGCTTGTCTGCATAATTGTAATTGAACGTTTTTATTTGTAATTGTATATTGAGTTCCTGTGGCTATCATGTCTGTCAAATTTGTATTAACTTACAAATAGATAGTTTTTGTTGTCTTACTTTTAATAAACAATATATGAAATTGCAATTATTTAAAGAATGAGGTTATTGATAAATTGTTTCAATGAAATTAGCAACTTTGTCATTATGTCAAGCATATTGTCAAGCTCCTACAGCTTAGCACTTTGGTTAAACTTCACTTGTGAGTTGTGACCAACAACTGTATGTGAAAAATGATTAGAATTATGTCTGATTCACCACATTGATCAACCAGCAGAGAGAAATTATTGCAACAAAGGGCTTGAACAATTAATTTTTGCTAAAATCCATAAACTTCATTCAATAAAATAAAATTTTTATTGTAAATAATCATGTCACAAACAGAACTTATTCTGACAAAAACCAGTTATAGTTAATCTTAATGCCATTATTTAAATCTTAATACTGTTAGGAATGACGATACATTACATATGTATTAAACAAAGTATTATACATCTGATCATAGTGCTAGTCACATGATCTAGTAAGCACTATTTATTGTATGCTAATTTAAAAATTTTCACATTTTGACTTGTGTTCTGCTCTACACCGCATGGCTTAGATCAACGCCCTTTTTGTAACTAAAACTATTAAATATATGTCGTTCTGCTTCTGCTTTAACAATAAATTAACAAATACTTTACACAGTAAGTTGTTTACCAAAAGGTGAAACACAGATACACCAGAAAACTTTTTTAAAGCATTTGACAACAGGGGGAAACTGTGCCAAGCCAACACCAATCCAATTCACTAAAGCATTCAGGAAGCTTTTTTATGTTCACTTCTCACATAATCAATAAGCGTCTATGTCAAATATACAAATAATCTCCTGATTGAATTTAAAAAGGCAGAAATAACAAAGTTAGGTCATGTGGACCATATGACAGTATATGTTTTACAAATTGCTATTCAAGCACTCTATTTGTGGACCAACATGCTGCTGCTGTTCCAACTTGCTCAAAAAGTAATTCAAGCTTCACTAGTCAGAACTGTGATGAATACAAAATATTTTGGCATCAGACAACCTTCATAGTGGCCATGCAGCATCGCTTCTGATATTTTAAAACACCAGGGTAGACAATTTTGGTGATTCGAATGTCCTGCTAAACGTTCTTTGCAATATATAAAGTAACTGGAGGATAATTTGATTTGTCACTTGTTTCAGCCACGACCGAGATTTCAAATGTTAGAACAAATATCTTCAAGATTCTCTGCAGAATTCTTATATGATAAAATTAAAACTGACGACAAACCATATACCGAGTACACATCTCGTCAGATACATATCTACTTTGAAAATATTCCGAATAAGCCCTCATTTATCAAAACGGACGTCGAATTAATGGATAAATTGTTGAAAGCTTGATGTGCTAAATGTATCCACACAAAAAAAATGGCCAATCTATAGAAATATTTGGGTTTATTTGCCAAAACCCATCCGTAGAACTATATATTATATTACGATCTGGCTGCACTCATCTGTCTGGAAACATGGCCGCCATTTAAAATACCCGGATTGTAGAACTCAAAACAGGGGACACGAACATCAAAGTTTCCGACATCGAGTGGCGCTTCTGTTATGTATCTATTCTGTGCCTATACTGTGTCACAGGTCTACTTGAGAATAAACATGCGGCCATAAGTATTGCATATTTCGACAATATGACACAAATTGTCGAAGGTATTGATGCTAATGATCAGCAAGAACTTTTAGCAGAGGTTGAAGAGTCTGAAGAACCGCATTTGGTAGCACTAATTGAGATAGCGCGTCAATACCCTCTACGAAGATGAAATCCACCTTTCTCCTTTCGTTCTGCAAAGGTTTTCCGGACCCAGAAACGCTTTCTATACTTAAGTCTTAAAACGTAGACGCTGTTGACGTACTTTTTGTTTAAATGCCAATAAGACAAGGCAATTTTTATCAATATCATTATTGCTGGCCGCCATGTTTTTCTGTGCATTTGTAAATGTTCGCGCAAACGCAAACAACTAACAGTAATAATTGGAAATCAAATCTTCCTGTACGCCGTTTTCGCTGTTGCCAAAGTCCGCGAAAAATTTCGAGAGCGGTGGGCGAAATCATAAAGTGGAGAACGGGTTTAATGTTTACTGCTTATTACTCGTCATGATTAAATTCGTCGTTTGAAATAAACAACCGTCAACACGACTTAACGACGAATTAAACAGCGAATTAAATTTGTCTGAATTATATTCGACGTTTGAAACAGGTCCTACTCTAATTCTAGCTTTCTTAAAGAGGTGCATCGGTGATCAAAAAACAACGTAACAAGTCCTATAATTGACACGCGAGGTCGCAATACTATTGCTAAAGTATAATTACAATCAGTATTACAGAACATATTGAGTGGTTATTGCAACATAGATTTTAATATGTGAGCTTGTTGGCATCTATAACAGAATACTGTGGGCTACAAATAAATGAACTATAATACGCTGTATTATAACAAAGAAATGTATGTATAACGCTTCATAGGCCATAGCACTACAGTCATCGCTACAACAAAGCCAGCTACACTGACCATTCATTTGATCACAAAGCTGACATAAACTATGTCAACAAATAGCCTTCGTTGCGTAATAATTCTTCAAAATTTAATCACATATGTCACTAAAAAACTTCATTGAATTAAAACGCTTACCTTTAATAAAATTTACTGATGTCGCGTTGAAAGCGTTAAAATAGCTAGTTGTATTCATACAAATTGCCGTATTGAACCACATGCTAGTCAACGTATAAAATACCAAGACATTCACATCGCTAAAAGCGTGCCCTTGTTTCTTTTCAAAGCTGAACATGATCATAATTCAATTTTTTTAATCAGATGGTAAATTGTCTTAAACCTAACTCACATTTTCCTCATAACACCGCCAAACACGAGATGTTTTCGCAAAATTCTAGCGTTTTAAATTGCGATTGATTCATTGCTACCACTACACAAATTACATACTTCATTGTCATGGCAACTCCAACACGTTCATTCAGAGAGGATTAAACGTATTTGTGTTGAAAATTAATTAGTTTTTGACAAACAAGATAATAGCAAATTGGTATCCAGTCCATTGCACGTGTACAACACTGACATAAGTCTTCTTCATATTGTTCTGAACAGCGTATTTATCGGGCGATTGAATGACAACTGAGTGTATGTAGTATTAACTATTTGCGGAAAACCATTATAAAGATATTAGAATAAGAAATTATTATCCCAAGTTCCCACCTTCGAGAAATAACGAGAGTTTTGTTCAGGGGCGGATCTAGCGAAAAAACTGACCGTATCAAGAGCCGACGGCTCGGGGGAGCTATGGGGTCCGGAGGAGAAATTGTCGTTTTCTCCCGCCCCCGGAAAAATTTTAATATAGAACCTGAAGAACGCCATTTTCCGCAATCTGAGCATTAAGTTACAATAAAATGAATATTAGCGTCAACTCTCTGTATAGTGTTCTCTAGCCCCTTCCCTTTTCTAGTCAAGTTGCATCATTTGTGAAATTACAAAGTAACTTACTTTTTTATAGACATTTAATCTTTCATATCACACATCAACCCATAAATATGAATTGTTTTTGCTGTCGTTTTCAACAAACAAATTGACAAATTGTTCAATTATTGCTCTTAAGCAGTTATATGCACAACTGCTGTGTAGTAAGTACGATATGCTGACTGCTGAGAGAGTTTTATCCGAGACGATAGGGAAGAAATATATAACCATATTAGGGGAAAACCATGTCAATGGGAAACGACATTGAATATAAATGATTACATATCTTAAATATATATCCATACACATTACATATCATTTAAAACAAAACGTCTGATGATTTGACAATCGTAGCCATGGTAGATTGTAAATTCTAGTTGAATATCTTGGTGTAGTTGATTGTCAACTCATTAGCCCCACTCCAATTTCATCGAACACGTCAGGACGTATTATTCAAGTACGCGAATTACAATTTACATTCGAGGTTGTAAGGTAAAACTTTAAGACACAACAAAAATTGCTTTTCATACCTTACAGGAACATGATGTCCACATCTACTAATCTGGCTCTTCCGAAATTGTAGCTTCAAGAAAGCAGAAACACCGACGAGCTGGCGTTTTGACTTCGACCGCTGCCTATCGTCAAAGAGTAACTTCTCACACGAACGTTTCAATCCAAGCACAAAGCTCTCTCGAGTCGCTTCTTTAGAGCCTAACTGCAGGGGCGGAACTAGGGTATGTCACATCAGTCAGATGTTTATAGTTGAAAAATTATTTATCAAATTTAATGATTACAACTTTTTTGGATCATTAAATTTTCGTTCTGTAATCGTTTGGATTTCATTGTCAAAATTCTGTTTTATGTATAAAAACTTATAAAAAACCACCTTAGTAAACAGATCAGTAAATAAAAACATATCTAGAATTATATTAACTGGCTCACTGATAAGCGAATTATATTAACTGGTTCGACCGATAACGGAGCTCAAGAACGCTTATTCAAGCCATTCCATTGGTCAATAGCCAGATCAGTGGACGATCTGGAATAATCTCGACTGATAAGTGGCCGGACCGATAAGGGAGTCCAATTGCTATCATGTAATTAGTTTGTTTAAATTTTTGTCTTAGTGTGATTGGTTTGACCAATTTCGACTGATAGCCTACTGAACTAACATAGTCAGGCTCACTGTCTGAATTGAATGTTTGATCGTTTCATCGTAATTTTCTAAAGCATGATAGAAACTAAACTACAATCAGATGGAATTCATGGAAATCTTTTACAAGTTCATATATTGACATGAATGCTGCTGTCCATTTATTCAAGAGGGTAAAAAATTTATGGATAAATTGTAAATGCTTTGCGAAGATGATCTCGCGAACGACATTTCAGTCATTGATGTTCAAAAGCAAGCCAACATTGTATTGAGTTTTATCAGCAGGAATTTACATCCAAAATCGTAAGTAAAGGACAAGTGAAGTGTATGCATGAATGTAATATATCAAAGTCAATTTATGCAAGTATGTGATGCGACTTATGTCAATGTTGCGTATGGTAAGCAGATTGATGCTTCTAAAATTGTTGTTGCCGAAGGACTTTTAGCTATGATTTCTATAGTGCTTTGGGGAATCTTGGCCTTTATAGGGCAGCAAAATCCTACATTCCTTTAAACAGTGGCGGATCTAGGGTTAGTCAGAATAAATTAATGCTGCACAGTTTGGAATATTTTTACAATTCTAAGCCCCTCAGTAACAAGTCCATTGGTGAATATATATTCTTTAGAAATTTAAAACCCATAGTGCTTTTCTTAAAGTACTTTGAATTTAAAATTAAGCAGCTTTAATTTATTTTGCTCGCTGCTGCTCGCTGTGACTACCCTAGATCCGCTAATGCCTTCAAATATGTTTCAATGAACAAAAAACCTGTACTCATAAAGTGCCATGCTATTATTTACCAAATTATAAACAAATGTTTGGTTCTTTTCAGTTTATGATCATTGATCATTCAATCATTGGACAGTTATACTGCACAATGTTTAATATCTGAGAAAACTAATGTTGATTACCTGAGAAGCTGTTTACTATAACCTGTGATTACGAATCTTTCTAATCCTTGAAGCTTTTTATTTTGACAATTTGACTGGAATGGTATTAAACCTGAGTATTTTACATACATGAAATGTTGTCCAATGTTACAAATTGTCCCTAACTGAATACCTCATGTAGAGATGTCCAAGTGTGCTGATCTACGGCTCATATCAGATTGTTTGCCAGAAATTCCTAAGGGCTATTGATGTATGGAAAGCATTTTCTATAAAATAAAATTGTGTTCCTAGGTATGCAGATAAACCTTGAAATTTGGCAAAACAGAAAAGTATTTTTCATGATCACTAGGTAATTTTTCTGATGATCATTATAATTTCTAAACTAAATTATTTCATATTTACATTTAAATTAGTTTTGATTATAGGAAAAGATATTTATCATGACCAGTATGCATGACACATGAACCAATTTTAACATTCATGTCATTATATGATTAAAGGCATGTTGGTTACATTCTGTTTGTCTTTGTAAATACAATGCTACTGGTGATTGCTATATAGCACACCTTGTATATAATTACAGAAGATAATAGTCTAGTGAAATGCCTAATAAACATTGATGGCATTAAGTTGTCCTTAATTGCAAATGTTCACTCTGATAATTTTTGCTTAATCTTTGAATTTGCTGGCACTGTATGTGGAGATGGGTTAAGGGTTACAATAAACTTGCATGGTTTGAAGTCTGAGCTTTTCTACATCTATGAACTGTCCCTTGTAGTACCAAATTTTTAACTTAACTCATTCCATAGAGGTTTGAATGGGGGGTCTATGCCTGACAACTTGGTAGAGGTTTTTAAAGACTATATCTTTTTGGAATAGCATTATTGTAAAATATATTTTATGTTCCTAGACATGCTAATGAGCCATATATTTGGCATGATAATGAGCCTAAATATCATGCCAAATTGGTATTACAAAGAAATAGCATTGCAATTACATAAACGTGCCAATGTTTTGCCCGGTGCATGCGGTCTTGGTGAAATTTCGAAATTTCAAGGTGTTTTAACAGGTTATCAGATTATTGCTATTGACTTTGATGCACAAAACAGTCAATTTTTGAGGGGCCAAAAAGTGAAAAAAAACACATTCTTTACAAACACGGAGATCATTTCAATGTAATCAATCCTACAAAGCTCCCAGCCTTCTTTGGAAAAAGGTTTTATTGTAACAAGTGTTCTGGATTTTTTAATGACTATTTTGCCCATCCCTGCATTGACACATGCAATACATGTTTAAGTAAAGAGTGTGTATTGATTCCAGATTTTAATAAGCGTTGTCATTCAAATGCATGTTTTAACCTGCACAAAAAACAACGTAAGTCAAAAGGAGTCGATCTTCCCTCAAAATGCAAAATGTCGTACATTTGTATAAATGTCGTACGTATGTGTATAATGTCATTGTTGAGAGAAAACGCCAGAGTGAACACACATGTGGCGCATTCAGATGTCATACCTGCAAAGAGCATATCGTTAGTTGCCATTTGTGTTATATACATCCTGAACCCCCAATGTGAAACTCGTCTTTTACGATTATGAAACAAATTTCACCAGAGGAGAGCACATTGTAAATTTTGATGTATTACAGTATACATCAGAGGAAGAACGAGTTTTCAAAGGGTATAATGAGCTGAATGATTTTTGTGAATTTTGTTCTCGAAAGCACATATAGGCTACACTTCGATAGCAGATAATGCAAAAGATTTGATGGTGTTTAAATTCAAAAATGACTTATTCAATATCGACCGACATTTATGTAAAACATTAATTGTTGATGTGACACATTTCAAAGTAAAAACTTTACTTTATGCATATTTCTTGAGATAAGAAATTATTATTGACTTAGTATCATACGAGAATGAACGTGCGTTTTAGAACACCTGCAAATTTTTATGTCTGTGGCCAAAGTCAGTCGGGCAAAAGCCATTTGGTTAGGTCGATGCTTTACAATTTGAAAGAACTTTTTAATCCTAATCCTAGTAAAATTATTTACTGTTATAGTGAACATCAAAGAGAATTTGATGAAATGTAACATAAAATACAGAATATTTGCTTCGTACAAGGTTTTCCGGAGGACTTGTTTCACATTTTGGAAGGGTGTCAAAACTCATTAGTATTAAACTAAAAATTTAGTATTTAACTAAAAATTTATTTCCTCCTGGTAAACAATCACGAACCATAAGCTTAAATTCCCATTACATGATAATTTTCAAAAATCCTCGAAATCATCTTGGGATATCCATATTAGCACGCTAAATGTATCCAAAAAATTCCCATTGCCTCCTGGAATCATTTCAAGACGCTAGTCGTATACTTTATGGATATCTTATGTTAGACATGCATCAGCTAACACCTGAGAATAAAAGTGTGTTCTGCTCAACTTTAAGGTAAAATGTGAAATGAAAAAGATCATGAAAACACGTATGTTTTATACATTTATTACAGATGCTGGTACCCAAGAATTAAATTTATCCGGGTAACCCGCCACTCTACAAGATATTGTACATTGCCACCACTTCCCTGTTTCTTAAGTGTTTTCTCAATCTCGTAAACATCATCTTTCTTGACGACTTTTTCAAGCTCCTTTTCATAAAAAGCTCCTTGAATTTCTTCCCCTTCAAAGTCTTTAAGTTTGTATACAGGTGGAGTAGGTGGTATTTTTTTACTAACAGTGGAAATTTCCTTTGAAAAATTTTGTAAATACCCTTTCTCAAACTTTCGTTTTAATTTACTTATTCGTATACTAGATCACCAATATCAAACATATATTTTACATGCTTCAGTTTATTAAGTTTGCTATCCCCATGTAAGTTTTTTCAAATTCTATCTTCATTTTCACTTGTAACGTTAATTGGTTTTTCCTTGATGCTGCGATGCATGCTATGATTATAAGAATACAGTAGATCGGGCAACATGTCAATGTGTCTCATCGTTATATTTGCCGTAAAGTAACGCCACATCTTCGTTTTTCGTGTACGTATCCAACCTTCAACAATCGACGCCTTGGTCTTGTTAAACGTATTGAACAGAGTGATGTTTTTGTCAACCATAAGTTGTTTGAAGTTACGATTGAAAACTCTGAACCTTGATCCCTTTGAACATGAGTTGGTTTACGTCCTGAAGATAAAATTTTTGTAAAAGCTTCCACCAACGCAGGTGCTGTCTTGTTTTTCAATGGAACAGCCCAATTGATTTAATGTCAATCAACTCATGAGACCTGGGGTAGTGTTCATTGTGCTCTTCGCCATCTATTACAGGGTACAGTTCAATGAACATATCGGTGATTTTTTCATATTTTGATTTGACCCCTTCCCAGTCAACGCTTTTATAAAGGCACTGGGAGGCATGTCTTTGACTACTTCGAGAAGCAGTTCAATTTCGCAATCTGTCGATGCATGGCTTCCACCTTGTATTCGACGAGATATGGAAAAATTCAAAGCGGCCGTAGTGTGAACAACACAAAAATTTCTATCGGATAGGAAATCAATCCGATACAAAAGTAATCCATCAAAGTGTAGACGGAGTCTGAATGGCCAAAAACAAATGAAAATGACTGATGTTTCTATAGTTTTGGGTGCAGGGGAACAAACGTAACCCAGAGATTTCATCATCAAAGATGTCATTTTAGTCCTGTCTTGAATGTAAGAACGTTACAAAGATTGGTTATCCTTAGCCTTTTGTTTGGGGTCTTCATTTATGCACAAGACTTAAAAAAGCCACATAAGTAATTATTCCGACTCAACCCGAGACTAACCTTAGAATTCTCCAGTAGGGTACCCAGCCTACAAATTTATTCCCACTATGTAAATTCAGAAGGACTTCTTTATTTCTTCAGAAGTCTATATTGTTCTCACGGGCAGTAAAAACAAAATATTTGCATAGCAGGAGTAAATTTCAGGCTGGCTACGCTACTGATTGTCTCTACTGTTGCATGCGTGTTATAGCGCTAGCAGTTATGAATGGAAACTCAATATAGCCTGGCAAGATTTTATATAATTGTTAATAAGTTTAAATGCTGCTGCTAAAAACAAATTTTTAATCGTTCAAAAATGTTGTCTTTCAAAATGTTGGAAATGCTATTTCTATTTCTAAATTGACGCAGACAATATTCCTCTAAAACAAAGGAAGAGCCGCACTTAAAATGCAGGAATGGACTAGAAGTTTTTTGGTAAAACAATAGTGTATTTTAAAAATTTTTGCACGCGAATATCACTTTTATAATAGTTCGCAAAAAACATACAAAATCAAGATGACGACGCCCTAAAGGAAATTTTTAACCAAATGTATTATAATCTAACAAACAACCCAAACAACATTCAACTTTGGAAGGTCTTTAAGTTGTCCTGCTACTTTTTATAATATTTTCCAGTGAAATTTTTTATGTTAGCATGCTTATGTACGTGATATTATTCAAATATCAAAGAAATATGTATTAGTAAATTAAATGTACGTGTCCGTTGGCCTTTGGCTTACGAATTCATGTATCGAACCGATCCATCTCTTACTTTATCTAATGGTATGATTCTGCCATCATTTGTTGTTGACAAGTCCCCTTCGTCGAGAATTTGCGTAACGTTTATATACGATTTCTAAAAAAAACATGATTTTATACAATATCCACACCTACTTACACAGGCATTGGTGAAAATAGTATCTTACCTGACTATCGACAAGCATATCCTGTAGAGATTTATAAATTTCTTCAAAAGTCGGCCTGTTCGATGATTCAACTTTCCAACATCTTGACATTATTTCATAACTTAAGAAAAAATGGCAATTGTCAACACAAACATAATATTGCCTCGAATAGCGTATTTGCCACGGTGACAAAAAAGATAACGTCTTAAGTGGTTATAAAAAGAACAATTACAAGACAAACATAAGCTTTTTCTCGCTATTCACCATAGCATGAACTTTGGTAAATACGCTTTTCAACGCAATATTATAATTTTTACACCGGCCAAGTTTCTGTTCAATGAACAGAAACTTTTATTGGCAAAAAATATCTCAAAGTATGAGACTTTGATGATCTAAGGAATCTATTATCTATTGACATGTGGAAACTTTATTTCACAAGGTTTTATAATACTTACAAACAACGACCAATAAACTTTTATCCGTGCATATCACACACAAAATGTTACCCATGTAAAACATGACTACATTATGACGACATTAAAATTTTGTACGTCAATAATGTAGCTATACATACAAAGGAAAAAGCCTTACAAATTACGAATATATAGAACACTCTACGGATATTGTAAAGTTCGATAAAATGAAGAACCAAATCCATCCAAGATTTTTTGTGGAAAAAGTGTCTGAGTGAGTGAGGCAGTGAGTGTGTTCTAATTAAAGTGAATTTTATCATTAAGTAATTAAGCTCGCTTAGTAAATGTTTACGGTAAAAGTGCACAGTGCGTAAGGTCAATCAGACATTAAAAATGAATGCAATAGATATTATAGTTTAAATATAATGCGTTTGCTATGTGAAAACTGTGAAGCGCCTGTCGGCGTTCAAAGATCCAAGCAGAATTTATTTGCAGTCAGCACAGAGTCGTCGGTGGCATCTTCCTATCAAATTGTTCTTATTTTTGAGAAATATTAACAAAAAATATCGTATCGTCACAGAATAAGAATATACAGAACACAAGAGTCATTGATGTCGGAGCCTTTGATGTTTTTGTCCTCAGGCATGTCGTGCCGCGCTTGGTGACCGCTATTATTCCAGCTAGATGGTTAGTCCAAAAACCATGACCAGCCGATAATTTAAAGAAGTATACTATAAAACAAATTCCGAAGAAGCAAGACATCTTGAGATTACAAAATATGAATCAAAACAAGACGCGAAGTAAACTGTAAATTTTCGACTTTATTTCAAAGTCATCCTCAGACAAAATATTAGTGATTAGTGTTTTTGACTTTTTCCAAACCTTCAAAATGATCCGAAGTCATTTCTTAAGTCAAAATATACTTGAATTCATTATTAAGTATTGACGTCATGTAATTTGAATGGTAGGAAAAAGTGAGAAATCCTAATCATCTAGCTAAAACAATGGCCGACATGAGGACGCGTTGTACACCTGAGTGACCCTTCTGTATAATCATTCTGTGGTATCGTGGCCTTATAAATTAACTTGTATGATATCGCTTGTTTTATCTATTCAAGCGGAACGAAACACGAGCACTAATCATCGATTGTACTAACGAATTATCTTACTCTTTTACTCTTCACAAACTTCATAAAAGACTAATAAATTAAAGTCAAGATACTAGTCAAATGCCAGCTCACAGGCGATAACGTACATCACAATTATATGTCACTGTAGCGTGCGGTACAAGCAACCTATGTACTTAGTCATTAGTATTATGTAGTGTCTGGTACTTAGTCCAATTCGGTATTATTTGTATTTCTTTTACAATACTCGTTTCACTCACACAGACATACAGTACTCTATTGGTGAATTTAATCAAACGCAGAAAGCAAATGAATTTCTTTCGCTTTCGAATTTTGTACAAAATACAACTATTATTATTGGAGCTTTTCAGTTTTAAATCGGGTGAAATATGATACGTGTCAAACTATAAAGTTTTGAACTGTAAACTCCCCAGCAAGTTTTTGTAACAAAGTAATACGATTTAAAAAAGTAATACGATTTTACTACTTAAGCCGCCGGTTTACCAGACATAAATTCTTTTGAATTTCGATGTTGAAGTTTAATTTTTAAAAAATTATCGAATTAAAAGAAGAAAGTTAATTTAGAACTTTTACTAAAGATTCAAATCTGAAAATAAATGCGTACGTTATAAATGCTCTTCAATTCTTACTAGAGCCCAGACAAATAATTTGAAGAGTAGTTGTGTGTTCATTCTCGCCATGCAAGCATGCATGCAAAAACTAGACAGTGCAAATGTTGTAAGACTGCAGTTACATCAGCTTTATACTTACATCTCATTAGAGCAGGACGGTGGTTTAGGCATACGAGCACCAGATCCAACATGATTGACAATGTGATATGGGGATATGTTTTTGTACGGTTCCTCTCCTGTTTAACCATAAAAATCAAAAATTTACTGAAATTAGAAAAATCAGCGGATATTGTTTAGGTTACTGTCCTCAAGAAGAAATGCAGGAAATGAAAATATTGATGATAGCAAGTCACCTTTCCTGGGAGAACTCCACTTGCAATCCATATGAAACCAAGAAGTGACAGATCTTCCAGATTGTTGTTATATTTAAAAAATTATTTAAAATCGTCTGACGATTTTTACAGACTAAAAAAGCAGTTGTGGATTTGTTTTGACTTTCATCACATGAACGAAGACGTGATTGTTCTAGCGTATCATTTTGCAGGCATTTATGATTTTCTTTAGATAAGTACCATTGATATAAAAACTTTTACTTAAAGAAAAAAAACGCGCGCAAAATAATACACTAGAAGTCTTTATGCTTCTAACGAATATCAAAAGAATTTACAACCGTTTTTATAGTCTTTGAAAATGAAACGAAACGTCAGACGATTTTAAACTTTAATTTAACAATTAACAATCTGGAAAATTAGCGTAACTGCGTAAAAGCACTATTGATAATTTTTTTTTAAACAAACGTGTTTCAACATCTCACGAGTCATGATGCCAACTTCAGTATAATGAATTAAAATATAAATACAAAATAATTAATTTATTAATTAAAATATAATATAATTATAAACAATTATACTTAAGATGGCATCATGAGATGTTGAAAATTGTTTATTTTAAACATGTTTACTTGAAAATCTTCAAATAAATTTAATAATATACGAGTAACCAATCCATATTCAAACCATTGTAATAAATAAGTGACAGACTTAAGCAAAAAGAGCTTATATTTGTATGGAAAAGAAAATCTCACCAAGCGTTGTTATTTCAAACAGAAGGACTCCATAGCTCCATCTGAAAAAAGAAAAATATATGCTCGGGACTTTCAGCATTGTCAAACATCACAAGCTGAAACAGCCATCGTACAATAAAAAGTAAGTAAAAATCCACTCACTACCACTGAAATACGTGTATGTCCATGTATGACATAGGCTTTCTGTAATCAACTAATTTGATTCAACAATAGACTTTTTCTGGGTCTTCTTTCATTGAACAAAGCTAACAGTCAACAGAGAAGCTTGTAGATATAAAAGGCCTTATGCTAAAATTGGGAAGGTATAATAGTACTTGTGTATTTTTTCTGAGTGTGGTTTATGCATGAGAACAGTTTTCGGAAAATAATTAACTGGTATGCTAAGGAAGGGGTACAATAATCTATAATTACTTACACATCGCTGGCAGTGGTGAATCGGCCATGAATAAGACTTTCCAATGCCATCCATTTTACAGGTAGAAGATTCTATAGTGATTGGAATGTAACAGATACATTACGATACTGAAAAATTGAAGATAACTGTTATCATTTTTTCTTAATGCATGCGAAGCCATATTTTAGATTTCCAGCAATTTCATTGGTTACCCCGGCGGGCAGCCTTTTACGATATTTGCAGTGGTTTAAAAGTAATACTTTTTTGGCAGCGTATTTATTTACGAAGTAAAATGTAAATTTTTAAAATTGATTAATAAGCGATGTACATTGTTCGGCTTTCGACCACGGGCCACTTTTGAGACCTCGTGAAAAATCAACATTGGCTCATACAAAAGATATAACTTTTTATTGTTATTCGGTAAAATATTTCTGCTCAATAAATGAAAATAAAGGATAAATAGCTAACAATTGTTTGAATTTTTGTTCAATTTAACGCCATTTTGATGCTTATTTGATTTAATTTGTGACGTAATTACGTGAAACAAACGGTAAATTCGAATGTTTTTAACATGAAGTCAAAGCGAAGATGAGGAAAAATACTTACAATTTTTTCAAAGAATGTTCGTTCACCTGTTTGGGTGAGACGTTTGATGAGGTTATCGATACTAGTCGGGAGACAATTTAAAATTGTAAATATTAATGCGCGTCTCCGCTTTGAACTTTCATAATCAATTAAAACAATCGAATTTGTCGTTCAAATAACGCAATGACGTCCAAATAAAATTAAATATGCATCAATATGGCGTCAAATTGCAAAAAGTTCAAACGTTTGCTAGCTATTTTTACTTTATTTCTAAAAATTTTTTCACAAATAGTAATATCTTTTATACGAGCCAATGCTGATTTTTGAGTGGAGTTCCCCTCAAACAATTAAATGTAATCGTCTATTTTTCGCAACGAAATTGAAGTCCTCACTTGATTGTTTCGAATGTATTCCTCTGCTCCACCAACATCCCTGGCCAAACCAAGATCAGAAACTTTGGCCATGTTATCGTCCCCAATAAGAATATTTCTGGCAGCAAGATCGCGATGAACAACCTATTTATGAAAAGATATACGAAATTAGGGAAAGTGACGACTGGTAGTTTGAATAATCAGTAAAAGCTTAAAATACATCCACTATAATAAAACTATATTTCTATTACAATTGATATCAAGTGTTATACAAAGACGACTAATGATCAGACACATTTTACGGTATTACTGTATTGAAAAACAAGTTCTGAGTCATTGTTAAATGATCATATGAAAAAATAACACTTGTAACTTGCTAGAGAGTTAAACAATTATAAATAAGTAATTACATAAAGGGAAGCTAAGTGTATCATTCCATCGGAAACGTCAGCTGCAATTTTCAATAATTGGCGATGATTCAAAGTTGACTGTAAGTTAACGTATGTCGAAGACGACTCTTTAGTTGTTCCAACTCTGCTATTAATAAGCACTTTTAAGAGAGATCCACCAGAACAGAATTCAGTCACAACATGGAGTTTACCTGAAATGAAAGAACATATTAATTAATGTGTTTTTGAAACTTGAAGTAAAAAAGCCATTTGTTATGGAGGAACAACATTCCATCAACGTTTAATGATTGTTTTTGGCGTATCAGCCCACCATGACAAGTCATTCCAACAAATACGTCAGGTTTGAAATTAAATATTAGAAAGGTGACAGAGAAGGGGAACAGATACAAGTTTGTGGATCGTCCAGGTTAGAAGAGTCCTGAGAAGCACTGTTGGAATTGATGTAGACTGGCGTTTCGACAACTTTAGCGGTAGTCATCTTCAGAGTCAAGTGAGAAGTAAACGTCAGGTTAGCCGTATTTGTTATCTGGTTCTTATATCATCGTATTGTTTGTACAGCAAATGTGTGGGTGCGTGGATTTTAATTGTGTATTGTTATCATGGATTAATCCAACGTAATGTGTTAGTTGCTTGTTTGTTTGTATTGTAAATGAGTCGTTTGTAAGGTGCCGCTAATTATTGTGATCTGTTTAGGGGGTTTTGTTCTAAGTTGGTATACCAACTTTCCAATCAAGCCGTTGTTTATAGTTAGTGATGTGAGTAATAGATTTTGCCGAGTCCTAGTCAATGTTGTGTTTTGTCAGTCGGTGATGTTCGGCAATGTGATTGGGAAGCGTGGCAGTCGGAGCAGTTTATTTTGTAAACTGCACCTTGTCGTTCGTTGGGTTGTTCTTTGTCCTTTGTGTTTGTTAGTACATGTCGTAGCGTTGTGATTGGTTTATGTGGAACACGTATGTTGTATGGTCGTAAGATACACTATTCTCAGACGTACCTGTGATACAAGGTATCGTTGCTGTTGTCGTTGAGTTGTTAGTTTCGTTCGGTTCATTGTGCTTGTAATTGTTGTGTTTGATGAAGCAGAGCTATAGTTGTTTTTTCCAAAGACACGTTTGAGATAGTTATTTTCGTTGTGTAGAGCGTCCGGTGAATCACATATGATTGGTGCACGTCTTGTTAGGGTTCTGATTGTGGTGGCTTTGTGTGATGTAGGGCTGTAAGATGATTGGTCTAGTAGTCGGTCAGTGTGTGTTTCGTAATTTTTGATTGCCATGTTTTACCAAACAGTCGAGAAAAGGAAGAATTCCATTTTCTTCAACATCTTTGGTAAATTGTATGTGGCTGTTCTGTTTACTGATGTGAGTGTGAAAGTCATCAATGCCGTATGTATATAATAGTGTTATAGTGCCATCTACATAGCGGAACCAAAAAAGTAGTATATGTTTGTAAGTAGCGAGCGCCCGTTCTACAACAGAAAAGGGTGAGCTCATTAGTGTTCTGTGTAATTGTTTGTAGTGTGTACCGCTGTACTGGAAGTAAGTTGAGGTGAGGCAGAGCTCCTGTAGCTCCATAATGTCTTCTGTAGGTAGTGGAAGTACGTCCGTGGTGTTTGTAATTAGTGTTTTTGTACAAGTAAGCGCCAAGTCAAGTGGAATACTGGCCAAAAGACACCAGTATATACTTGTCGGGTATTTGTATAGTGTTCAGTTTTTTAACGAAGTTTCAGTGGATTGTAGCTTGTGTTTTGATTTGGTTGTAAGTGGTTGCAGTATGTCAGTCAAGTACTTTGAAAGTTGGTAAGTAGGCGAACCACAGAATGATACAATTGGTCACACGGGTATATGTGGTTTGTGAAGTTTAGGTAATCCGTAAAGTCTGGGTGGTCGTGGAACTGAACATCTAAGTCGATAGTAAGTACGTTCAGATATGATGATAGACTTTGTCAAAGAGAAGGTCTTGCTGTTAAGTTTGCGTACTGGTGATGGTGTTGCGACTCGTTTGAGTTGTTCGTACGTACCAAACGAAACTAACAACGCAACGCCAACAGCAACGATACCTTATATCAAAGTTACGTTTGAGACTGTCTCGCGTATCTTACAACCATATAACAAACGTGCCGCACATAGACCAATCACAACGTTACCACAAGTACTAACGAACATCAAGGAAAAAGAACAACCCAACGAACGACAAAGTGCAGTTTACAAAATAAACTGCTCCGACTGCCACGCTTCCTATATATCGGGGAGACGGGCAGAGCTTAAACATAAGACTTGCTGAACACAAACGAGCTACAAAGAAACAAGACAAAACCAATCACATTGCCGAACATCACTGACAACACACAACATTGACTAAGACTCGGTAAAATGTATTGCTTACAGCACTGACTATAGAAAACGGCTTACATTGGAAAGTTGGTATGTCAACTTGGAACAAAACCCCCTGAACAGATCGCAACAATTACCGGCACCTTACAAACAACTCATTCACAATACAAACAAACAAGCAATTAACACATTATTTTAGACTAATCCACGACAACAATACACGATTGAAACCCACACACCTACATATTTTCTGTACACACAATACGATGACATAAGAACCAGACAAGAAATACGGCTAACCTGACGTTTAAGCCTCGGTCACACTGTTCGAAGATAACGATAACGATAAAGGATAACGATAAACTATAAGGATATTCAATGGTCACATACAACGACAAATCGTTATAGTTATCCATGCAATGTGACCGCATACAAGAGTTTGAATAACGAGCATCGTTAATGGATCGTTATCGGGTACAGTGTGACCGAGGCTTTAGTCCTCACTTGACTTTCAAGATGACTACATACCAACAGTCCTTCTCAGGACTCTACTAGCCTGGATGATCTTCGCGCACAAACATGTTACGATACTCCCGGGTTCAAACCATGAGCAGATGCAAGTTGGAAAAAGGATCCATTAAGTATGTTTTTAAACATGTATATCACCATCGCTAGTGCAATTACACGTTTCGACACAGCCGAAACTGTGGGATCCAGAAGATGTAACCCAAAATGTTATTGTATACAATGCTTGATAATTTCCAATTATAAGTGAAATTGCTACTTTGTAACTGTAAATGAACTCTACCAAAACCGATAATTCATTAAAGAAAGAAAGCTTTTTGTAACACCACGTTCGGATTGGGTAATTGAAACAGCATTATCAAAAATGAAGTTTCCCTTTTCAATGTTTTTGTCGATTTATATTTGGCATGTTGCGAATTGTGAAGTGAATATACACTTAAGAAAACCTAATCAAAATATGTTCATGCAAAATAAGTAATAATGTCAATACCTCCAATTGAACTTCCACCGATTAGTCGTATAACGTTGGGATGCGCTACTTTGTTAACTTCTCTAAGAAGAGCCAACTCTGACATTAAATCTTCCAAATCGGATTCCGTTGCATTTGCTGAGAAAACCCGTTTCACGTTTAGTTTATCATTCAAAATTGATTTTTTTCAGTTAAGTATAAAAACTTGCACAAGGGCCAGACTTTATTCTACAATTGTTATTCATAAGAGTAGTAACGTATTGCAAAGTTTACCTACAAATACAAATTGTTTATATTAATCGTCGATATCGCTAACAGGAAAATGGAAAATTAATTACAAAAACTCAATTGTTTTAAACATTTTCATTGTTTGAACAACAACTCATCGCTTGATGTACATCGTCCAGATTACTCTGTTTATGACTACTGCTGAGGTTGTCGAAACGTCAGTAAATATCAACACCAGCAGTTCTCAGGACTCACCTAACCTGGACGATCTACATCTACAAACATCTACTTAACGATACTCCCAAGTTCAAAGCATTCACTTTAACTCGTCGTTTGACGTTTGCTTAGCAGGTATTTAACCGTTGATTCCTTTTAATCATGCATTATGCATCCAAACAATTCCTAAAGTATGAGCGTCAATCCTATTTGGCATATAATTCACCATTAAGTTCAACAGGGGCTTGTAGGACAAAAGGCGTCTAACTCGTTAACCAGCGTTCAATTCGCTATCAAACGTATGAATTTTAAACGCTTGAAAAATTGCGTTGTACGAAGCACATTTAACTACATCCAACGGTTAAATTTTGCCTATCTACCGCATAAATTTAGGCGGTCTAATAAGACAGTTTAAGTCGCTAATAGCGCGTTCAGACTGAGTTTCCCGGCATGGTACTTAGGCACTCAGTCTGAACGCGCTATAAAGGGCGGAATAATCGTTTTTGTCTCGTAGTTTTTATCTCAAAATGGCTTACATATTACATGGCATTCATATCTACGTTCTCACAAAAGTAAATTAAAAGATGTGAAATAACTGAAATAAGAGACATACTTCAGCGACAACAAGTAACGACTAAAGAGGTACATGAACGTTATCGCTTCAGTGAAAAAAATGCAGTCTATAGCCTACATAAGATGTCTTGTCAAAAAGCATATCTATCCAGCAATCGTGGAGTAAAATACAATTTTCGGCGTCTTGAATGAAACTTTCTATCGTATTCTATGCAACGAAGATATCATGTGTTTTCGGCAATTATTTTACACCACAACGTATCAACTAGGGATCCATGGAGAGTGCAAAGTTTCTTAGAAAATATTTCCTAGTCATGGCAAATAAAATTAGTTTGAAGAAATCTTAGTATCGAAACATGCTAAACTGAAATTCATTTCGAGAAGTGATTACCAAACGCTAAGCACTTTGTTTTTTGACGAATAGCTAAAACTTGCTCTAAGATTGCGTAAATGAACGTTAATTTGTACGCGCACTTACGTAGCGGAACATGATATTTGATAAGGACATTTGGCATGCCACAATCATACAAACATTCGTCATTCATGCATTACCTTCTTTTATTATTACACTATAGAACATATAAATTACGAAATCACTCATGATTTACAATCTTTGTTTCGGTTACATTATATTTTTTTATTCTTCTGACATATATGTGAAGTTCATGTGTTCAGAAGAACAAAATGCTTTGTTTGCGATATTTTTTAGCACTAAATTCCACCTAATTAAATAATAAGGAACCGAGTAGTAAAATGCAACGATGTTCGATAAATATTTACGTAGCACAATTTGCATCAGTGATGAACAAGTCCAGTTTTCGGCAAGTTGGCATGAATGAACACTCATTTCGTATTTGCACTTTCATAGCGATTTCATGAATGTCGACAAAGTCATACAGTCGTACATGACTTTTTTACATTGTTTTAAAGCACTAGATATTTCTTGAAAAAAATAGAGCTGCGGGAGGTAAAACGGAAAGAGATACATTGTTATAACGCATCAAATTGAATTTATGTATATGTACATATATATTGTTCAAAAATAAAAGTTTCTCAGGATTTCACAAATAATTTTATCGAGCTTTCGACTTGTTGCTTCGAGCCTTCATCATGAACGTATATATATCTTTAATATATATATATATAAAATGAACTAAAATAAACTGGACAATTGTTTGCTGTCGCTACTCGGAGATTCACGCCGTAGGGCGATCTTCAGCAAATAATCAGCAAATAGTCAGCAAACAATTCTCCATTTTATTTTAGTTCATTTTATCTTACGCTCTTCTAATATATAGAATATTTTGCGCTCTTTTATCCAGGAATATTATCCGTACTATATATAAATATATATATAATGGGATTTTGTGATAGAAACTATCGCAAACAAAATCGTACGGATAGAGTGCTCAATGCCACGGCAGAGCGGTATAATTGAAAATAAAATAATAAACCACGAATTACTTCATCGAAATTTATTCACTACAGAGCTGTTTCGTATGGCAGTTGTTTAACTTGCCACACTCGTCAGGAGAATAAATATAGCACTGTAGCACAACGGAACTTATACACTAAGATGAATAATTAAGTGTTTAGGTGATATAGTATTACATTAATGACGTTAGTAAGTGTTTATTACGATGGCAGCATGCGGAAATGAGTTCGTTTCGTTTATTGAACGAGCTGAGTTCTGGGTGGAAGATGATGAAGAATTTCTCCGAGAGGCATAAATTACAGCGTTTGGTTTTGTCTGAGTAAGGTTGTGATTTCTTTACAATTTTCCAGTTGATGGTGTATGGCGTGTTAGAGTCTTTTAGTTTCCATATGTGTTTGCTAAGTTCTGTGGAGTGTTGTTTTGATTTATTTCGGAATGAGCTGGTGTGGTTCAAGTAGCGTGTTTTAAAAGTATTATCCGTTAGACCAATGTAGGTTTCTTTGTGTTTGGTTAGTGTGTTGGTGACTGTGGCTTGGTAGACTACCCCTTTGGTTTGGCATTCTCCTTTTAGTGGGCATTCCTCTTTTTTCCGGCAGTTGCATTTTCTGTCTGTGGTGGCGTTTATCATCGTTTCTTCTTTGGTTAAAACGGTCTTATTGTGTGTAGAAATTATCGTATCGATGTTTGGCAGGCAACTGTAACTTAGCTTAAGTGTGTTTCGGTTGAAGATTTTGCTGAATGGATGGTTTTTTGGAAAGGACCTGTTGATTATACTAAGGAACTTGTGTCCGATGTCTGTGTGGACATTGGAGTTGTATGGTGGGTTGTACCAGGTGATGTTTCTATTTCTGTTTCTGTTTTTTGACTTTCGTGTGGTTTGTGGGCTGTATTGTAATTTGTAGTTAAAGCCGCTTTTTGTTAGTGCTTCTTGGTATGGGTGTATGCTTGAGTCGAATGATTGCTTGTTGGATGAGATTCTTGAGAGCCGCTGGTTGATGGTTTCCGGGATTCTGCGTAGGATAGATGGAGGGTGGTTGCTGTGAATGTTTATGTATTGAGGAATGTTTCCAGGTTTGTTGTATGGCTTAAAGGAGTCAGATCGTAAATCAAAGGTGATGTCAAGGAAGTTCACGGATTTCTTATTTGCTTCAATGGTTAATTTCAGGTTGTTTTCGTTGAATATTCGGCACAGTAGTTTCTTGATTTTTTCTATCGTCTTAGGGGGAGCATTGATATATATATAACAAGTCGAAAACTCAATAAAAATCATTTAAAAAAATCCGGAGAAACTTTTATCTTTTATATATTCAATGCCTGGATTACAAATTTTCAAACTTATATATATATATATATATATATATAAATTGTTAGTTTAGAATGAAACAATTAAAAAAAATGTCTTAGTTAATGTGAGTTGAAGTTGGTGTTAAATTCTCTTTCAATAATCGTTGAAAAACTGGTAGTAAATCTCTAAAAAATCATTATAAAAATGATCGTTGTTGCTAGAAACCCCCAGGAAAGTTTACAAACTATGACTGACTGATTGACTGACTAACTGACTAACTCCTTTCGCTACTCACCACAATACTACCAAATTCCTATGGAAACTTTGCACTAAAAACGAAGAAAGTCGAATAAATCACTGCTAGCCAGTCTCTGGGACAATATAAGCACTTGACACTTGTAACGCAACAAATTTTTTATTTCCGAAAGCTTCACGCAAGTAAGCAAATTTACTGACTGTAATAAATATACTAAAATTTCATTTCTCGAGTTTTCCCACCTAGTTGCCTGGGGATTAAGTAGCAAAAACTGTTTTTTCTTGTCCCCCCCGTTTAAATTTGAGCTTATCCTACCAATTGCTAAGCTGCGTTCGTACCACAACTTATTACCGTGCAACAGATTTATACTTCTGGGTGTACACAGGGCTTAAGTTCAGTGCATGGTAAAGCCAGTTCAATAATTACTCCTACGGGGCAATTTTATTTGGAATATTATAATTCATATTATTAGAAATCTAATCTGAACTCATTTGTAATATTCATATTAATTTGGTCCCTCTACTTTACAACCACAATTAAAATTTCACTTGCTACTTATCATTCTGGAATTTCTTACTTCGCTACATAACTCTGTTTAAAACATCAGTTATTTCTGCTTTAATTTATGGCTTCATGTTTACACAGTTACAAGACAGACAACTATGAAATATGACATACCATTCACAATTCAAGTTAGAAAAAACTTATTCTATATGTTTTTTATGATGAATCATCTCATCTCTGCATTTTATGCATAACATCAACAAAACGTTTTTGACTAAAAGCCATCTCTTACAGAGACACTATAGGAACAATGATAGAAGACGAGAGTGTTTTTACCTTTTAAAGTTTTAACCGCCACGATTTCTGAATCTCCTTTTCCAGAAAGCAGCATTCCTTTCATGACGATACCAAATTGTCCTCCCCCTAGTTTCTCATCTAGGATCTTCAAATTCTCAGGGGAAATTTCCCAATCTTGCAGTAAAACGATGTAAGAAAGCTCTGGTGAATTTTCAGAATAAAATAAATCTGAAAAATGATCAAATCAAACAATGTCAGTAAAAGTGCTTATAATCCAGCAAAATACTTTTCTGCATGACAATGGATTTGAAAGCGAATTCTAAGTATAAATATAATTGCCCATCATTAAAATTTTAATATGGCCATGGATATACAATTTTATAAATAATAACGTTTCGTGGTTTTAGCGCTTTTGAGAAGGTTGAGCACACTGAAATTGATTGGACTGGATGAAGTTTTTACGGTCAAAGGGGGCCCAAATGTTTTGATACTCTGGTGTGTAAATGGCGCGTGGTTTGACCCACGTACGACGCAGAGCAGTGTCGACACTTAATTAGATAAACAACAAAAAAATAAGAAATTTGGGGAATCTATCTTTGAAAGGAAAGAAGGATGAAAGGCGTGTAGAAGATAGCGAAAGAGAAAGCCAATATTAAGGTGAGAATAAGTAGCATTGCAAAGTCGAGTGATTTGGGTGCGAATCTGTAGGGAGTGTGAGCTGGTGAAGGGAAAGACAAATACATAATTTTCTGTGGTATAGTATGCATGGGAGTCTTAGGTTTGAAAAAGTTTATTGAGGAAATATTGGACTTTTTTATCGAAGAGTTGGGAAGAGAAAATATTTGAGCAGTTTTCGAATGACTTCAAGTTGAAGATGAAAGTTCTCGTAGGTGGAGCAAAGATAGAATATTCTGTGAATGACGTTTGTTGTCTATCTATTTAAGTGTCGACACTGCTCTGCGTCGTACGTGGGTCAAACCACCCGCCATTTACAGACAAAAATATCAGAACATTTGGGTATCTCTCCTTAGACAGGAAAAACTTCATCTAGTCCAATCCATTCCAGTGTGCCCACCCATCTCGAAACTAGTAATCACTTCCGCCGACTTTGACGACTTCGACATTTTTTCATCGTAATGCATACAAACTATCCATCAAAGAAAGCCTCCACATCTGCAAGCTTCAAAAATCTCTTAATGTCCAAGGCAGCTCCATCCCACTAAATCTTATCTAATTCCATTCAACCCCACTCTATCCCTTAACGCAAAAAATCACGCAACGCCGTCATCGCTATACCTTGTAATTTAACATCCCGTAAATATTGTATAATTAGTATATATGTTTTCTAACTTATTTCATGTATGTACTATAATCTGAAGACGGCCTAAGCTAAAGACGAAACGTTATTAATAAAATTGTTTATCCATGGCCATATTAAAAGTTTTATGTTAGGCAATTATATTTATATTCAAAATACCTTTCTCTAATGCAAGCTTTTTGGCGTGAGTAATTAGGTCTTATACCTGGATTCACTGAAAGTTGTGCAGCTTTATTTTCTGACCTTTCATTTTGTAAGGTATCGTTGCTCTGCCTATTGAAGTGGCGAGAATTTTCCCAATCCTATAAAAATAACAGCTTTTGTGAAGAACATCCGCGATGTTAAAAACAAAGGTTGTTTTCAGATCATGAAAATGCTTTCTTTTGCAACGTTATTTTCAGTTTAGGTTCGTTTTCCGAAAAAACACTTTCTCTTGGCTATGGCGTTCCATTGCGAACGAAAACATGATAATAAAAATGTCAATATTATACATTAAAAATCTATGAAATGTGCATCAAAAACATAATAATTTGCATGTCGAAAGCATTGCATTATTATCTGTTACTGAACAGGTTAATAAAGTCCTGAGAAGGACTGTTTTTGATGTTGTTGACTGACGTTTCGACAACCTTAGCGGTAGTCATCTTCAGAGTCAAAAAAAATCATCAAAAACAGTCCTTCTCAGGACTTTATTAACCTGGACGATCATCATTTACAAACATATAACGATACTCCCGGGTTCAAACCATTTACTTTGTTACTGAACACTTAAAAATCGACAGTTGAAAACATCTAAATCGAGCATTGTACATTTTTTAAAATTGACTGTCGAATATTTCAAAATCGTATCTCGAAGGGAAACGGAAGTGTCAAAAATCGTAATCAGAAATCAAACGACACAAAATAGAGACGTGTAGTAAAAATGACATCCTGTTGGCTTCCAAACATATGGAAGAATTATTAATAGTGCTTTTGAAGGTAATCTAAACCAGCTGAATTGCTAGCAGCCTGCAGGTAACAGCTGTTCTTACGACATTTAACTTCCATTTAAGAAGAGGAGATGCATAAAAAATAACATTTAAGTTTTAATGAGAAAGTATTATTCCTGAAAACATAACGAAAACAGAAAACATACCTACGGTTATTGCTCATTTGTCGAATATTTTGCAAAGAACAAGCAGCCTCAGACAAAGTTTTTAAGACATGTTTTACCAGAGCATCCACAGTGAACGCAAAGCAATAAACGACAATCAATCTTTGCTGTTAAGAGGTAGTGAGCGAGGGGGTCCAGCCACTGCGGGGAGACCAAGGATAGTGGTAAGTCGTTAAATCTGAGAATTTTTGTCCTTTAACGGCCATACCCAGGTCGCGACGATGGCAACGCAGTTCCCTTCCTGACACGCAGCTAAATCCACCTCACACCTTGATCTTCAAGGACAGGACAAACCCGCTTGTCCATTTCTTTGTTATGGCAAAGATTGCTTTGCGCCTACTGTGGATGCTGCGGTAAAACATGTCTTGAAGACGTTGTCTGAGTCTGCTTATCGCTATGTTTTCTAATAAAACACTTCCCAATTCAAACTTTCGGCAACACGAGAGCACAACGTAGATTATGCTCATTCGTATGCATCTGTCTTCTAATGTAAAACTCAACTGCGTAGTAAGAACAACTATTGGCTGCAGCTGCTATCAATTCAGCTGTTTCGATTAGCCTTAAAAGCGCTTCAAAGAATTCCTCGATGTTTGGAAGCCAACGAGACAACAGTTTCACTACGCATCTCTAATTTGTTTTGTTTAATTCCCTGTTAAGATTTTTGACAGTTCTGTTTACCTTCGATATAAGTTTTTGAAATTTTCAATTGTCAATTTTGCAAAATGTTCAACGATCGATTTGTATGTTATAACTTTCGATTTTTAAATTTTCAATAATACATATTAATGCAAAATTTCCAATCATGTTTTCGACACACATTTCATATATTTTCATTATATAATATTGACATTGCTATTATTATATTTTTTTCTACAATAGAACGCAACACTCGGACTGAGAACCATCGGCCAATAGTTTTTTAACACGGACCTCTTAGCCGGTAAATAACACATGTAAAGTTTGGTTAAAAATTCATATACTGATTCTCTTATGACGTCTGTGTAGTCTATTTTGCTTCCTTCTTTTACGGTTTTAAAGATTTTACGATTTGTGCTTCAGATTATGTAAAATTATGTTAAAAATTTTTTCATGACTCCTTTTCACAAAGCTAGATGTATGTTCCAGTTCACTAAGAAAATCTTAACCATACTAAGGAAATTCGGACTTTCCTTGTTTAGTCACATAAGAGCAAAATTTTGTTAGCAACTGATATGTTGTTTCATACTACAATATTTCTTCGAGTATTCACAAGATGAGGACAATTATCTTTACCACACTTCTCAGATTTGCACGTGTATTTATTTTAATTATAATATCAGAAGGCTTATAGAAGAAAAAACCATCAGATTATTATCAAACGGTGAAAAGTTGAAAACAAAAGAGAATTTTCAAAACATAAAATTTAATTTTTTAATATGAAGGAGTTTTGAAGTCACAGAAAACTTCATTAAAATGTTTTTAAAAATTATCTTTTCATACTCAAGATTTTATAACTCAATCTATCCAAAAAAAAAGGGGTATTGCACGAGTCGCAGCATAGTTTCTTATACCTTCAATTTCCTGGAAACTACAATGGCATGTTTTTTCAAAAATTGCCAGTAGCACCTCATAAAGATGGAATTACGAGAGATCGAGTTAACATAACAGCAAATGCCATTCGACAATTCTAGTCGCTTATTAATTAGACTCTGCACAAAAAAACTATATAAGTATCTTGACATTAATAAGAAATGTGCTTGAACAATTTAGAGAATCTACTTTAATTTTATATTTCTAGAAAAAGTGTAATTTTAAAATTTCCTTATCTTGAGCATTTTACTAGTCGAATAATACTTTATAGATTTCTTAAATTTACAATAGTGAAAGTAATAATTACCTTTACAGATTGGGCGAGTTGATCTTTATCAGTTTTTCTTTTTAGCACAAAAAACACTGCAAGAGCAACGACACTTAAGGCCACTGCTGCCATAAGTGAGCCTACAATAACACCAGTATTTGTACGACTTTTTCCAGGTACAAAATAAGTTGAAACAATTGTCGCAATCGTGTCATTACCAGGACCAACATTATTGACAGCTTTAACTTTTATTGAGTATTTTGTAACTCTATCTGAAAATAGACGTTTTTTGAGAAACTAAGTGCTGCTTATGCTAAAAATAGTATAATAAAGCCTTTTAAAACAGGCAAAAGTCGAACTAGGTTGAGTGAGAATACATTGAAAAAATATGTTTAAAACTCAAAATATTTTATGAACAATGTCATGAACAAAATTTTCGTTTTGAAAATATTCTATAGAAATTTTTAACCAACAGATTTATTGATATGGTATTTTGAGTTTAAAATAAAAACGTGTAGTATCTTCTGACGTACTCTAGATTCGTTTCTGAAAACTGGCTCTGCTAAACAGAGGAGTATCGATGAAAATAATTCTATCAGCCTTCAAGAAAATTTTGCGTTGGCGTTGTATGACTTATATCAAAAACCACAAGCATCCTTTTCACTATCAATTTATGTTATGTGAACAGCATGCGACTAGTTTTCCCATAACAAACAGTGAGTTTGAAGATTTTTATTCATTCATAATATCAAGGCCTATTAAAGACGAAAATGCCTTATTCAAATTTATGCAACAGTTCAAATCTTCGCGCAAGTACGCACGTAAAGTATGCTGTGTTTTTCCATAAAGGTTAAAGCATTAAAAAGTGGTCAAGTTATGCTTATCTGACAAAACATTTTCTAATTAGCTGATTAGAAAAAAAAATTGGTGATGAAGATTAATCATGCTTATAAAAAACATAGCTGTTTTACCAGTCTATATTTATGCAATATTCTTGCGAGAATTATGTTGTAATGTTCTAAAACACTTCTTTTTGACAAATAAACTATAGCAGAATTTTTCGCAGGATAAAGTTCAAGAAGTTTCCTACCTAAGCTCATTAACCGGTAAGAAATATTTGTAGAAGTATTCAATTCAGTGTAATTAGCTTCGTCGACTTTCTTCCATGAAAGTATGTAATATATATGACCATTGTCATTACGTCTGATAGGAGGAAGCCATCGAACATGAAAACTGGTTGGAAAAGTCTGTATTGAAAGGTCTCGAGGAATTCCGGGGACTGAAAAAATAATATCATATCACACTAATGCATTAGTCAATAAATATTATAATCATAATAATATCGTATCCAAAATAGGCAAAAATAATACTGCAGCTTTGAATATTCGTTGGTAAAAATTTATTGTTCGCATTCGTTTTACCAACTTCAAACTAAAACACGCACATAATTGTAGCATCAAGGCTATAGATTTTAACGCATTTACAGCAAACATCTTACACCAACGGTCACGAATGGGATATGTAAAAGCCAAATTGTATGGTGTGCGCCTGAAATCAACAAGTGGCTAAATATTTAAAAGAAAAATACACATCAAAAATAACTTGATCTAAATAATGAATATAGCATATAGCTATGCAAAAATCATCTCATTGTTTGAAGAGAAAGTAACAAAACATGCTAATAATGGAGCAGCAAATCCTCACATTGATCTTTGATTTAAAAAACACAATAAAAGCAGCAATGGAAAATTTTTTGTTTGATGTTTTCTTTTATTTTTTGGTCGAAAAAGATCTTGCCGCAAACTCGAGGGAAAAATGGCAAACAGGTCAAACGTAGCTATGTATTTCGGTGCGCTCATTACGAATTTCTGGTTTACGATAGTCTGCGATACGATAGGTCGAAGTGGGTTGTTTTCTTTGTGGATTTTTGGTAGTCCGTAGAATTTGGCGGTGGATGCGTCATTGGGTCGAATTCTTCTGTAATCGTTTTTGGTCAGTTTCTTTTTGTCTTTTAGTTGTTTCAGTTTCTGGTTGATGCGGTCGGTGGTCGTTTTGCTGGGGTCTGCGTGGAGAGGTTCGTATGTGGTGGTGTCTCGTAGGAGGATTTTGCTTTGTCGATGTATTCTGATCTGTCCATGATAACTGTTTTGCGTCCTTTGTCATTATTTGGACATCGTTTTGTAGGTTTTTAATTGCTCGTTGTTCTTCGTTGTTTAGGGTGACTGGTGGTTTGTGGCAGAGGTTATTGGTGATTTTGTCACGAATGTCTTCTTTCGTTTGGTCTGTTAAGTTGGTGTACTTTAAAGCTGATTTCAGGTCGGCAACGTAGTCAAGTTTGTTCGCGTCTTTCAAGTTGTAATTTAATCCTATGTTTAAAATTTTAGTTTGCTGTTCGGTTAGTGGTTTGCTCTAGATGTTTGTGACAAATTCGTTTGTGTTGGGATGGAGTTGTTTGTAAGATCTGGATTTTTATTAATTTTCGATGAACTTCGTGGTGTCGTTTTGTTCTATATGCGGATGTTGCTTTTTTGATGGCTTCATTAATGATTTGGCGTCTGATTGTGTAATGTATCTTGTAAATGTAAGGTTTCTCGATGTTCTTGTAGTTTATGCCGGTAGATTCGTAAGCGGTTGTGGGAATCTGGTATGAGGACGTTTAACATACGGCGGCCGTTTGATTGTGCAATTTGTTGAGCGTGAGTTGTTTTTAACGGTGGTCGGTAGTTAACGCTGTTTGGTAGGATTCGTTGTTGTTTACATTTGTGTAAGAAGTTAAGCTGCTCCAATGTTGATGACTCTTTGTGTGCGAATAATTCCTATTTTCTTGTTCTTCTGAGAATACCTTTCCCATATGTTGATTTTATAAGTTTGAAAATTGGTAATCCAGGCATTTAATACATAAAAAATGAAAGTTTTTCCGGACTGTTTTAAAAATTATTTTATTGAGCTTTCGACTCGTTGTTTCGAGCCTTCATCAGAATGAGGAAATTACTATTTAGATGTGCTTTTAGCTTGTAGACGCTTAGAGCGTCTAATTGGATTAGCGGGTGGATTAATGTGATTGGATGGGGTGGAATGCGTTGCCATGGGTTTTGGTGTATTGTTAATATGATCGGTGATAATATTATTAGAGTGTACTGTTGTAGTTATGGTGTTGTTTGTAGTTTTTTGTCCTTTTTCTTTAGTTGTTAGTGTATGCTTGGTATGTCAATATGTCTGTATATTTTGTCGTTGTCTTTACTGTGCCAAGCTTCTTTAAATTCGCGTGCGTGTTTAGTCTGTGCGCGTGCGAGTACTTTAGTTTCTGTCCAGTCGAATGTGTGGTTGTTTCCGTTGGTATGTTCTGCCGGTAGTGAGTTCGTATCTCGTCGTTTTATGGCGTTTTTGTGTTCTGTGAGTCTTGTTTCAATTTTTTTTGATATTTGTCCTATGTATTGCTTTGAACAGTCTTTACATGGTATCATGTAGATCGCGTCAGTTGTATATCATGAATTGTAGTTTTGTCTTTATGTTTGGTGAAACATGATTTGAGTTTTTGTGTAGGTTTGTGGGCGACGTTATTATTAAATGGTCGAAGAAGTCTGGCAGTCATTTCTGATGTTCCGTTTATGTATGGTAATGTGACAATTTTTACTGTTTCGTCTGGTTTCTTGTTGCTTTAGTCGGTTTGTGTTTTGTTTTGTATTTGTTTATAGTTTTGTTTATGAAATTTCTAGGGTAATTGTTTTTGATAAATGTGGAGTATAAGTAGTTGCGTTCTGTAAGAAATGAAAGTTTCTCCGAATTGTTTTAAAAATTATTTCATTGAGCTTTCGACTCGCTGCTTGGAGCCGTCATCAGAATGAGGAAATATATGTTTAAAAATTGGTAATCCAGGCAATTTATACATTTTTTTGGCTTCTTCTGTGTTACAATGAGCGTTTATCCTGTTAAAAAGTGTTCGAATGCAGCTTATTTTGTGTAATGTTGGGTAATTGCTGTTGTATAGATAGTATATATGGTATACATATAGATATTTTTTGTTGAATTGCCGACCTGACTTGATGCTTTTCTCTTTGTGGGTGCTACAAGCGATTAATAGTTTCATGTACAACGCAGTTGTTAAACAAAAATTTTCCTCAGTTTGTCTTTACATTGCTTAGACAGGAGCATATTAATTCAGAAAAAACAGATATAAAACTCGTTGTTTTGTTCAAATCTGTTTAACGGACAATTAAAAAGAAAATGAAAATGTGCTTGACACTTCGATCGTTGATCTCCATGTTTTTTTTCAAGCGTAATCAGTCTTCAATACAACTGACGCCATGCACGTGAGAAAATCATGTTACACACATGCAAGAGTTAGGTAATCTCTGGTACCTATAGAAGATGGTTTGATAAAATCTCTTGCAGATCGAGAAGACATGTGTGTCTCAATGACCATGGCGACATTTGATATGATGACTTTAAGAGAATGATGACTAATTCACAAGCTGCGATTGTTAAACTTATTTACTGTGTAACCAAAATACACAAATCTTTAACAATACTTTAATATACTTTAATAAGGTTAATATTTTAATAATGTGATACTTTAATAAGATTTAAGCCACTTACAAATCAAAAAGTATATTTGTCTGAAATAAAGCTAAAATAAGGTTTTTCATTAAAAATAAGAATTACAACTTAACAGCGAGGCTGAAGATCTCACTAGTTTCCTGAATAGCATTGTCTTATGGAACCGGTGCCTCAGTGTTCACCAAAACAATCCAGTATAGTAAATTCCCTTGTTGGGCAGATGGTTAGTACGCCCAGATTGGTCCCAACGTCAAGTGCACACACACACAGGAGAGGAATGCAAATCACCGTGGAAACGAGTGCGCTTTGTTATACAAATTGTCTTTTTGTTTATTTCAAACGTTTAATGAATCTCATAATAAAAAGTAACATTTCATAATTGATCTTTTAATGTTGCCATCTTCCAACGTGTGTTTTGCTAGTCTTCATCTCCTCCGTATCTTGAATTATTTCATAAAAATCATCGCTGTCATTGAAATTTTCTTGTGTGTCAAAAACATAAAGTCAAGTGTTTGTATCAGCCATGTTTTGCAAAAATAAGACTTTGCTTCATTTAATCAAATGGTAACGTCGTATATTCACACGATCATGTGACGAGTTTATTTCATGTGAGAACATAGTCTTTTACCACAGCTTGCAAGAGCGATTCTTAACAGTTAGCCGAAATGGCGTTTTTTGAGCATGTTTTTTTGAATTGAGACTTCAAACTTTGAAATAATACTGCAGTATGTGCTATTTTATATAAGGTAAAAATGACTTAGTCCTTGCAACATACCGTCCGGTAAAGTGTCAAATGATCTTCCATAAGTAAATGTTTTACAGGGTATTCCTGTCGTCGTATTGTACGCCACCCGATGATACCATGAATATCTCCTGTTTGGCACTGCAAATTTTAAGTCACCATTATTACTTGACCACTACCTCCGTTACTCAATTTAAAATATTAATTCTATTGCAGACCAATTTTCAATTCAGTTAAATATAGTGAAAAAATAGCGGACACATCTATCAGCTAATAAATTATGAATTAACGAAAGCAAAGAAAAAAACATTTGCCCATGACACAAGTAGCAAATTTTGACATAAAATTTTTCATATTTTAATATGCGTCACACCTATGCCCAATGAAGAGGATCTTTTAGGCACTATTATGCAATTCGCCTTATTAGTTATGATTTGTAATTTTGTATAAGTAGTCATGAATGAGCACATTTGTGTTTCTATTATTTCTGATATCTTTTGAAAAGTTAGTTAACAACACCTACGAAAGATTTTGTCTAAAAAGTTTATTTCTAGAGATATAACGGGCGAAAAAATTTTTGGGAAAAAGCAGCGAATGCTTAGGTACTGGATCTCTGGAATACATGTTATTGACTATTTGAAAAGTACTAAAAATACACTTTCTGCACACATAAAATTTAAAATGAGGTAAAAAACACTTTATGATCAATAAAAAACAGGTAATACAATAATGTAAAATCGAGTTGGCATTCTAAAGGCAAAAAACGTTCTGTCCTTTCTTTGATGTACAATAAATTAACCCAGTCTACCATATATCTTCTACAGAAATCTCCAGTTAATATCTTAAACATCTGTATCAAAATCCTCAGCTTTTCTTACGTGTTCGATTCTACACAATTCAATCTCGTCAACACTTTGTCACCACTAAATGACAAGCACGATAATGCTTAGCTGGGCAACACAAGTGAGCTTGATGATGGTGCATTTAAAGTAAAAATCAATTTGAAAAATTTGGCAAAATAAAACTAAAATCTCACCAGTGCGCTAAGCAGGTGTATACTTATTGACAGTTACTTAGCAGCTTATTTTTGTCGTGTTTTACATGCTTTTAATTTAACAAACACCTTAATTCTTGTATAAACTCTTGCATTGGTCTACAGAGACTTGACTGTCTGGAAAAATTGTACAGATATTATATGGGTATTTTAGGGTTAACGTTATGCATTGATGAAGAGAAAACCAGAATTGTCAGCAGACTGCTGATTGTGCTCCTTGCCAACGACTTAATCTTTTTAAGCCTGGATAGCTCGTTGTTTGCAGATGAATTTTACTAAGTTTTACGGCTCATGCAACCTTTTCTCGTAAATCAAACATTGCGTTTGGTTTATTGCCACGTCAGGCAAAAACTCACCGTTTGCGCTGAATGTAAGCAGAAAAACAGTTAAAGAACCAATAGCGACGCATTCTTTTATCACTTGCCTTATGATGGTCTCCCTGATTCATTTTTCCCTCTCAGAGAGGCTTTCTGATGGTCAACGTGACTCATTTTTCCCTCTCAGAGATGCCTTCTGATGGTCACCGTGACTCATTTTTTCCTCTCAGAGAGGCCTTATGATGGTCTCCTGATTCATTTTTACCTCTCAGAGTTGCCTTAACTCAAAAACAAAGATAAGAAGTGGGCTAAGGTGCATTTTTGTTAAAAATATACGAAAATTATTGGCAAGAATCCCAAATGCATTGTCAACAACGCGCCTTGCTCGAAAGAGAATCATCCATATGTGTCATCAGTTACCTGTGAATGTCTTTCCCCTGGTGGTATACTTAATTTCCAGGCTATTATTGTTTTTCATAACGATGTTTGGGCCAATTAATGCCAAACATTATCAAAAGACTTTCCATCAAGTTGATCTTGCTCTTTTCTCGATCTTGTTCATTTCTTCTTGTCATTCATCTTTTTGTCCATGTCTTTCTACATTGTGCTTTATAACGCCGACGCCATCGTCTTCTTACTAAAATAAACAATATTATCTCTTCTTGAAATTTTTTCGCCATATTTGCTGTTCGGCCATGTGATAAAAGCTCACATTCAGCGCAATCGGTTAGTTTTTTTTTGGTTTGCGTGGCCAAAAATATCAAACACGTTTGATTTGCGAGAAAGTGCTGCATGAGCAGCATAACTTAGTAAAATTCATTGGCACATAGCGGGCTATCGCCTGAGCTAACTGGTATGAGAAAATATAAGTTCAGCTGATAGCTCTCGTGTGCTGCTGGCTTCAGCGAAACGATTGCTTGTTGACAGTCCTGGTTTCACTTGAGTCATTCAGTCTAGCCCTTCGTCGAAATGCTTATCGTCTTCATTTTGATGATCCACCTCATCTTTATAAACAGTTGAATATAACTCTACTTTGGTTATGTAAACCTTAAAATATTTGCAGCTTTTCACAAATATTCCATTTTAGCTGGGTGAACAGAGATGTTTGACAAATCTTGCACTTGCTTTTGCTCACGAACACCCTGGCTATAATGGGTTTGCTCTAGTCTTCAAACTGCAGATTCGATATATTCTTCGTTGACTGACTCTAGATTTTCTCTGAAAATTCTAACATCACCAAAAAGACTTTTCATGATTAAAAAACCATGTTTATTCATTTCTCTGGCTAAAAAGCGCGCCATTGTTAATAACTTTGCTTTGACAACATTGCAGTTAAGCGAGCTCAATGAAGGCAACATTTGATAAGAGTGAATAAATGAATTCGGAAAGTGTGAAGATATAAATTCGAAGAGTGAATGAATAAATTCGAAAAGTGTCAATAATTAAATTTGGAAGTGTTAATAAAAAAATTTGAAAAGTATGAATAAATATTTTCCAAGTGCGAATAAATAAATTAACCTATTTAGAATAATGATATGTTTGGCGTGCCATAGTCATACGCGTCATTACTCTCAACGTGGTAATTCGACTTAAATATTTAATAATAATGTTACTGATCAAATTCATTGTGATTAAAAATTATATACCCATACGTTGAACGAAGAATGACAGATTTAATACAAACTTATAATTTGGACAAAATACTTATCACCAATTTATCGTCTCGACAAAATATTTACGTTTTCAATGTATTTTTTTACGGAAAATAATAGCCTTGTATAAACGTATACTGTTTACAGTCACTGAGCTGTTTACATACCCGTCTCTAGCTATTCTGGAAAAACCTTAACAATGTTGGTTTTTTCGACTGTCGTATCTGATGAACATTCTTCCAGATTTCACCATTTAAACAAATGGGTACATTAAGAGAGTGGCGTAGCAAGCCCCCAAATTTGGTCCCGTTATGTTAATTTTTTGACATGCCAGCAAATTTGATCCAGATATGCTAACAGTTTCTAAAGAAATGAATAATTATAATGTGCTGAAATTTACATAGCCGGACCAAAACTTGCGGGCTGGCTAAGTAACTGCATTTAAACCTTGTTATTCATGACTAATAATTCTGTTAAAGCCAATGATAGATGCTAAACTTTTTCTGGCCTTCCCCCACGTTTTCCAAACTAGGACAGCATGACCTAACACCAAAGACGCCACTGCAAGAAACTAGAGTCGGATTTTTTTAAGGGTATAAAAAATGTAGCCGTAATCTATGTGACCAAAATGTGGCTAGAAATCTGTTTCAATAGCCCCCACCGCGGTGCTAAAATGTTTCATTGGGGACCAGTAGTGTTCAATGCGCTGATTTCAAACATCTTTGTTCCACACGCAAAAACGCGCTGTTTTTTATAATGTATGGCCAAAGTTTGTTATTCCCATCGGCTTAGCACCATTTAGAATTCCGTGGTGTTTCGATCTTTTGGCATGTTACTTGAAGTAACCAGTGTACTCGAAAACCGTGGACTTATAAACAACTTAAATTTATAAGTATATGCCACGGAACCATCTAAGAACCTCTAGCATCGACGCGATTTTATTCATTTCAATTGTAAAACTGGTTAATTGTGATAGTGAGAATTTGAGACAATTGAACAATATCGCGAAAATTGAGTAATATTGACGAGAAATAGAATCAAATTTCAACAGTAGCATATCGTATCAAATGTTGTTTATGTATAATACTATTTGGTAACTAAAGATGATCTAAAGCTCTAGTGCTATCTAAAATAGGAATTACAAAAAAATAAGTATGAGATTGTTGCGACAATCTTGCGCAAATAAATCAGTATCCAGATTATCATCTGAGTCATCTTCCCAGGATTCGTTTGGACAATTTGTGCAATCAACACACTGGCAAATTTCAGTACACTTGTAGTTAGCTTTCCTACATTAAGTTTGGGGAACATTAAGTTAGGAGCACATTAAGTTTGAATAATAACCGAATAAGCACTTCTTTGTTTCCACCATGTTAGAGAAACTTGCTCCATTGTGCTGGTAGTTTCCGGTCGGCGCTATATATATTCATAACCTCTAATCCACCACTTGCCTGTTTGTTTCGTACTAGATTCTTAATGCTCCCATCAGGATATCTGTCTACCACAAAGTCGGCACGTGTACATCTGTGATAAGTTGCCAAGTTGATGACCATCACTAACAGTTGCTCTGCAAATCTCCTAACGATGAAAGCAACTTTGCAGCCTGAATGAGTGCCATTCCATCAAGGACAATTGTATTACGCTCTGAAACCTCGTCAACTGTATGATCTTGAACATTTTTTACTTGATTGATGCCATCAAATTACTTTTCTGAGTCTTTTGCAAGGTACGCATCTTAGTTGAAAGAGATAATGGGAATGGACCCAAAGAGTAACAAAGAACTTCCTTCATGTCAATATTTTTACTTTGTGCTAGCAAAAGCATTCGAGCGAACAGATTATGATTATTCTTCAAAGTAGTTTCTATACACCTTTTTCTGAACTAACTTGGACTTTTTTAATCATCAAGGTATAAGTTTTCAGTTTCAACTTTAAAATTGTTGAAAAGATATCAGGCGTATCAAGTAATAACTTATCTTTAAGAGCATCCAGTTCTTTTCTTTTCCTACAAAATGAATGTAAAAACCATAATTATATTCTTATGTGTTCATTTATGCAAAAATCTATTTCTGTGTTGGATACCTTTTAATTGGATCGGTGCCGGCCATTTTCATACATTTCCCTGTGATTGCAGACCGATCGGATTGAGCTAGAATCCATCGTTGCATAGCACCCCTGTTTAATGTAATTCCGACCATTCCAGGAAAAGAAATATATACTTTTTGGGCTTTTAGTACTGCCTAACTTAAAATCACCTGGTCTATACCTGTTGTTGTTTTTCAATCTCTGTCTAAGGTTTGCTCAATAGTCATATCGCATGCGACAGTGGAAAATTCATAGTTCTGCTGGCGTTGCACAGCCCAATGATGACGAAGATCTTGCACTAAGGTTAAACGCATAAAAAGTTATGATAAAAACCCATACAGAGGATTAATACATTAGTTTGTATTAATTCTCTTTCCACACCATTTTATGTAACAATGTACTTTTCAACCAAATAGTAACTATTATCTTTTCTGTAACATTAAAACACTTCTGCATTATACATATGTTACCTTGTTGTGTTTCTTGCAGTTTTGTCATTTCAAGCCAATACGCTGTTCCATAAAAAGAATAATTCACACGATCGCATGCAAAATACCATGTAAGCATTAAGCGCACTGTGAATAGATGCAGTTCCCAATTACCCTCCCAGGTAGGTCAAAGCATTTTTTACTACTGCAGCTGTGGAGGAATTTGCTTGATAAATAAACATGTTTTAGATGTCGACCTAATGGAATAATAAGTAGAGGTTCCGTTTCATTATGTCAGGAAAGGAGCATAGTAGATAAATAGGCTCACTATATAAACTGAAGAGTTCCAACCATTTCTAGGTAGGTACTCCACAATGAAAACGTTGGGTTTCTTTCACTTTGCCGAACCACAAAGTCATCATACCGGGAAATAATGCCCGTGAATGGTTCCAATGAAAGTTTGTCCTGAAAACTCTCCCCAGGAAAGTTGCTTAAAAGATCGCGTGCGACTGTGTAAACATTAGCGGAATCCTCGCCATCAAGACTACCCAAAAAAGCTTGCAATCGCAGTCGGTGCAGAGCTTTGCTTATAATTTTATAGCAATAAATGCTTCTGTTATAATGTTTTCCAGTCATAACACCTTTAACAAGCCTTTGCCCAACAATTTCAGCTTCAATAAGTACATCCTAAATATAAGGCAATATCGCCATTAAATAATGTTTATCTAAATTTTAATTGTATTAGAAAGAGTATCCAAGCTATAAAATTAAACAATACAACTGGGACCATCCTAGAACTTGGTCTGTTTAAAGAACGACAGCCGATGGTGGCCAACATGAATCCATACCCGGTGCTCCTTTTATTGCATTTTTTAAACTCATCGCAACATCATAAAATTCTTTCAAAGTTACTTCCTTTTGGGAAAATATAGGCTGCATATTTGCTTCTACGTCACCAACGCTTTCTTCCTCTTCACTATCTGTTGTTGCACAGGTCTCGGCTACTTCACCTACTTACAGCTCTCCTACAAACACAAGCTTGCTTTGATTTCTGGTTGCAGGGCGGTGAAATACAAGTTACGGATAGTCTCTGTGCAATCTTGTTTTAGGTCGGGAAGGAAGGTAATTGGATGCATCAAGCTCTTCAGTCTTCATTACTTGCTGTACAAAGATGTCATGCAATGGCCTCATTTAAATTATTTGCTTTTCCTTTATCAGCTTGTCTTCTAGTGTTTTGGAACAGAATGTGTTGTAGCTTAACTGATATAGTTCGTCGTTTTGTTTACCTGTCACTTTTCTTGACAAAAATCTGCAGTAATCCAAATGACAATGCTTGTGGTAGCGTACTTCTATCGCTACGCAATCTTTACCCCTAATGTGAGCTAAAATTGATTTGTCTTTTTTCCTTTCGCAGCCTCTCTTAATTTACCTCCGTCATACGTTTGTGCCAGAACGAATTTATCAAGTTTTCGTTTTCTAGTGGCCTGTAAAACATGCAACGTAATTGTTACAAAAATGTCAAGAAATAATTCAAGGATTATGTTTAACTATACCTTGTCCACCTTGTATAAGTCTTGTCTTTTGAAAATTATGCAATGCAAAAGCTTATTTCTTCTGGTATGTTTTCATCACAACTAACAATGTCCGAGGTGATTTTCTTACAGGTGCACGAGAGGTCCTGTGTGTGACAGGAGTGCTTCGTTTCACCTTGTGTGAATGCATTAATAGTATTTGTTTTTTTCTGTATTCTTTTTTCGGTTCTTCCGACTTTTGTTTTCCTTAATGAAAACGCATTCCTTAATGCATAATTCCTTAATAGCTAGCATTCCTTAATGAAAACGCACATTCGCAATTTCCTCTCGCACTGGCTCCCTATCTGAACCGAGCGATCAACGTTTGACTCGTTTGGAAACGTTTGCCGCAATTCTATTAGGGTTACTATGCATCCAAATGAATCCACTTTTCACAATATTCACTTATTTTATCGATTTTATGTGTCGTCAATTGACACAATTCGCCTGATTTACCACCAAAATGAATGAAACATTCATCCTTTCTCCTGATTTGCGCTTTGTGACTTGCAAAATCGTACTCAGAAAACAATCAGAGTTAACAACAATTTAATTGTATAGTTTATCAAA